TTGTTTAAATGGTTTACAATTAATAAATACTAATTTAATCCTAAAATAATTAGTTACTGTTTTGTTAAAGTAGTGAAATTTGATTGAAGTATAATTAATTTGTATTTCTTTTCCATCCAGTAATATTGTTGGATTGGTGTTTGATAATTTGTTATTTTGTTTCTGCCAAAAGTAAGAAACTTGTTTTACCATTTTTTCTTGAAGTGTGTGAAGTATTATTTATTTGACATTTAAAAAATTTCAACTAGGGTTGAGTATTGCGATATCTATTAACAATATTACAGCCATTATGTTTTGCAAGAACTTTTGATGAAATATAATACTAATTATTATCATTCTAATTTCTTCTTGCTACAATTATCACTAATGGCTTACCAATATAACAATAATATGGATTATCCATATTTCCATTCACAATATTGATATTCGATAAATACAAACGAATGGTTTTTAATTTAATTCTCCACATAATATTCTCTCAATTGTTCCTTAATTCCTCCACCACTCCTTTTATTTACAGTAAATTTTTAAGAAGAAAAATAATTAAAAAAATGCAACCACCTCCGCGTGATGATTCCTCAGCCTTGTTGTCTTGTGTGATGACTTCAACTGCTGCGGGGTTGTTATCTAATAATAATAATAATAACGTGATGATGAATAATGTTGTTGGAGGGATGATGATGGTGCAGGAGATTGTGGAAAATTCAAGTCATGATGATAGTACGGAGGACGATGATGATAGTAATAATAATAATAATAATAGATCATCGATTAGTAGTGGATTTAATGTAAATAATGTTAATTCATCCTCAGCCAATAATGTGAAGAGGAAGATAAGTACGAGTGGAATTAAATTTCCCGACTGGGATCCAGATGTAAAGGAAAAGAAGGTGAAAAAGTTTGTTAATGCTTGCTCTGACGGAAATTTAGTGCAAGCTTTAAAGCTTTTCCGAGAAGGAGTGGATATCAATGCCAAAGACAGATATGATGAAGCAGCTCTATATAATGCAGCCAATGAAGGGCATTATTACATTGTAAAGTTTCTAGTTAGAAATGGAGCTAATATTGATGAACCAAACAGTGGAAGTCTCAAACAAACAGCACTCTGGATTGCTTCGTATAATGGTAAATTCCGAGTTGTTAGACGTCTTTTGAAAATGGGAGCCAATAAGAATGTCAGATGTTCTCCTTTTATTGACAATACTTCACCAGAGGAAATTTCAAAGGAGCAAGGTTTTCTTCAAATATCAGAATATATTCGTCAATTTGACTATCCAAATTATATTCGTATTAAGAACAACAAAAAGGTACGTGAATTTTTCTCATCATGAAAATAATTCTAATCATGATATATAGAGATTTAAAACAAATTTGGTGAATCAACAAAAACAATTGTACAGTAATTCCTTTGTAGATATCATCATTACATGCCCATATGAAGGGAATGAGGATTATTATGTTGAAACTGATAATCAAAGCTCCAGCAATGCTAGCTCAGTAGTACTAAAGAAACGAGCTTCCCAATCTAACACTAATTTGGCACTTGAACCATTTTCAAGTGTCTTGTACATACGAGATCAACCATTCTATATTTATCAATGTGAAAGTTGTGAATCATCCTTCTTTACAACAATGTCAGATTACGACCATCAATTATTACATGATATTGATGCTTTTAATAAGAAAAATTATGTTCCTCCACCCCTCTATCCCAGATCACAAAGTATTACCAACATTCTATTTAATGAAGAATTTTTAAATGTGGATGAAGATACACTTCCTTCAATTGAATGCCCAGATTTTGATGTGGGTAATGGAAAGTTATTCTTTAGATCATGTGTTGCTCCATACGAAGAAATTGAATCACTCAAAGAAATTGCTCAATTCTTTCAACCATGCATTTTACCCATTCCAAACCAGTATTGTGGTGAAATTTCAGAGCTTTTAAAACGTTATCACGAAGAGGACTCGTCTGCAATTTATGGTGGCAGTGATGCAAATATTCAGCCAAAGAAGAAGGTTAAATATGATTCTTAGTTTATTTGTTTCAGTTTTAAGCAAATTTGTCAAAGTGTACAAACTCAACTGTTGGAAATAAAGTAGAAATTGGCTTTTCCAAAGAGTTATCACACTTATCTCCATACATGCACAAATTCTTAATAGAATGACTATAAATTGGGCTGCCATGTTCTGTAAGAATGTTTGACATGTTCCAATTTTTAGATTCCATAATGAGAGTTTCCAACTTTTTGGCTTTTTGAAGATCTTTGAAGAACTTTCCACTCATGCTACTATTACGAATGTCTAATACTTCAAGCTTTTTACACTTGTCAACACAGGCTGTTATTTCTGCATCTCCAAAGCACAAATCATACTCTTGAGTGTTGTCAGAAGGACTGGAACAATGAATGAATAAATTAACAAGGTTTGGACATTTGTCAAAGATTCTTCCCCACATATTCATGGTTGGAATAACTTTGGTATTCAAGGAGCAACAAAGGAACTCTAAATGTTGTACATTATTAACTACTTCAGATGTAGTTAAAAAGTCAATGATAGCCTCAATGTTCAAATGACATTGATCAAATACTATTGACTTTAACTTGGAACTATTCTTAAAATATGATTCCAAGAAAGCCTTGTCAACTTTTACACCACCCAAATACAAATGTTCCAACTCTACATATTGATAAGAGGCATCTCTATCTTGTGGACAGTGAGTTGAGTGACCTTCTGTTTCTTCCTTTTCTTCAATATAGAGTGACTTTAAAGTTTTACCAATTACTTTTGAAATTGCAGGAAAATCAGAATGAGGAAAGCCTCCATGAACAATAAGTTCTTGAATATTTGAGCTAGAAGCCTCCAAAACCTTCAATAAATTAGCAGCCATTGCTGGACGTCCGGAAGAAGGTGCTTCAATTTTGAGGGATTTAATATTGGTACAATGTGTGCTGATCATTTCAAAAACTGGTGGTGAACAAGTAAATAATGATGAAAAAGTTAATGATAAATCACGGAATTTGCTACCAAACTTTGGAACCAACAAGTCAAAAAGTTTAATCAAACCACTGCTGGAAATGTTACGCTTCTTGATTGGATTTTCAAAATCTACAAGTTTAAAATTATCATCATCTTGATATCCATCAGTGAATGGGAACAATTCTAAACTCATCCAATTTACTACACTTTCATTGATAATTTCGTGGAATCTCCTACAGGAAGGATAAACACTTCTCATCAAGGGAATTGTACCCAAGAATGAAAAGGTTAACTCGATCACCTCTGTTGGCAAATCGTGAATGTGTGTTTGATTGCTTGTTGTTGTCGATTCTTCCATCATCATCGTCGTCTGATTTGTTGTGGTGATGATCAAAATATTTTTTTTAAATTAATTATTATTATAATTTCATGTTGCAACATTTCTATCATGTTTTATTTGTTCAATGATTTTATATTCAAGGAATATTGATGCCATTTTCTGTCCATTGATTGTTTTATAAAGACAGATTATCTGATAATAATTCGATTGTTGTTACATAAATTCAAAAAATCTTTTGATTCAAAACTTCCAGTAAAAGGTGGCTTTTGTTGCTATTGTAAAATCATAGCATAAAAAATTGTAGAAGACAGGAGTTTTGATATGTGGAGTACTTCGTTCTAGATGGATGTGACTGGAATCTTGATAAAAAATGATAAGGAAAACGTTTTGAGTAAGTTTGTTTACAATGCCCATAGGTACAAGTTAATTCATCTATGACAGCGCTGTTAAGAAAAATCTAGATGGATGTATTAACTTGTATTTTGAGCAAAGGACGTATTCTCACTTTCTCGAATACGTTGTCACAGTAAAGGGATTCATGCTCAAATTAAGCATACAATATTACGTTTCCATATCCACAACAAACAACCAGTATATTAAGGATATTCACCCAAAAAATGTTGGTAACTTGCCTCAATGAACAGCATGAGGTCAAGGATGTTAGCATGAGTAAGATCCAACAAACAACAAATCAACACACCACTCATCACTTGCCGTATGAAATGATTGTGGAAATTTTACATTATTTGCAATCAGGAGAGATTTTGAAACAGTGTTGCTTGGTGAATAGACAGTGGCAATCTTGTTGTTTTATGCTGCCACTCAGAGTCAAAATTGCACCTCGTTTGAATCACAAATTGGGTGAAATTATTGCAGACAATCGATGGATGAAGAAGGTGTGTGATTTGGATTTGAGTTTTCATCCTTTAGGTGATGAAGGCATTAGTTCACTCGTTCAGAGTCGTGTTCTGTCTAACTTGCAACATTTGAATTTGCATAGAAGTAGGATGCGAACAGAGGGGATACGGGCCCTTTGTCAGAGCAGATATCTGATGAATATCAAATCACTCAACTTATCTGGATGTGACATTGGCTTGGAAGGTATAAAATCTCTAGCTTCCTCAACAAATTTACCCAATCTAGAGACATTGAATTTGTGTGATTGTTCCTTAAATTGTGAGAGTATTAGAATACTATCAAGGAGTCCACCACTGGCCAATTTAACTCATCTCAACTTACGAAATTGTACTGTGGGAGATGATGGAGCCAGATACATTGCATCCAGCCCATATCTCAATCAATTGAAAGTTTTGGATTTTACATTTAGTAATGTGGGGTTTAATGGTTTAAGAGAATTGATGGAGAGTAGAAATTTATCAAACCTAGAAAGTTTGGATTTGTCTCATTGCGAAATAACTAATGAGGGCTGTAAACTTATTGCCAACAGTCCTTTCATGTTGAGATTGCAACATCTTAATTTAACATTCAGCAAGATTGGTTGTCAAGGTGTTAAATACATTGGAGAGGGATCATCCATGTCTCTATTGCAATCCCTCGATTTAACATTCTGTAAGATTGGGCGAGAGGGAAAGCAATTCATTCAACAAAGCCCCTTCATGAACAACTTGCAAGTGTTGAAATGTTATCCTCTCTCTAACAACTTATAACCACATGATCCTCAAAATAAACACAGCAGGATAACTGCGTGCATTAACATTTCCCAACAACAGGTTTCCAATGCTCGTAACCGTATAAATTTACTCTTGTAAATGGACTGAAATACGGTGCCTAACACCATATATGTTGGCAGCATTTCTAAATTGGATATGCTTTCGCCTGTTTTTCTGTTCGATAAAATTGTGTACACAGTAACCATTGCGTTTATCTAGCCATAGTGTGTATCTGACAGTCATCCTTAATATATATCCCTTCATCGTGTTTTCCATTAATTATTATTAATAAGCATGAAGAACCCTATTAAATTATTCTATACACTCAAATATATTGAGAAGTATGAAAGTTACATGTACGTAATTATTTACTATTTTTTATTACAATAACAACCATTAACCCTATTTATATAAAACAATAGCAAGTCAAAGAGAGTTTTTCTTGCAATTTGTCTAATTCTTACCAACTTGCTCGGAGGTTTATTATATGGCTATGCTTTAGGAACGATTGGAGGTGCTTTTATTAGTGCCTCACAAGCATTCTTCCCTTCCAATACGTCTTCATCCCCAGTAACCACAAACACCAGCTCCTCCTCACTCAGCACTTTTGAATTGCTTTCCCTTAATAATTCATTAAGAAGAGAGGATTCTTATGGCTATAACAATGATTGGATATCTAAGGGACAATGGACAAATCTTGAATGTTTACTCTCTGTTGCAACATATGCAATGAGCCTGGGTAAAATGGTTGATTATCATCATTTTGGTCATTGTATGCAAATCAAGACCACATCCTTATACGATTCCAGAGATTTGAGCTCTAACAACTCTCTGAACGGAAATGCAACCAAAACTGCAACTAATAGTTCATTCAATCTTGATACAACTATATTACAGGGATTGTTTGCTAGTAGTATCTTTATTGGTGGATTGTTTGGATGTTTGTTTGCCATGTTTACAGGATCTGTACTCGGTAGAAAGTTATCCATCATTCTCAGTTGTTTAATTTCAATTATTGGATCAATTGGAGCTGCTGCATCATATCAATATTCTACATTGATTGTCTTTAGATGCATTTTGGGTTTGGAAGGGGGATCCTCACTGCAGTTTCTTCGGTGTATGTTGTCGAGTTGATGCCATTCCCTAAATATATGGGATTATTGGGAAGTATGTTCAATTTGGGTATTAGTTTGGGTACTTGT